TTCCTATTGAGGGTCTCACCATTGGTGCTGGTGTTCCTTCCATTGAGGTTGCTCAGGAGTACATTGAGACTCTTGGCCTCAAGCACATCAGCTTCAAGCCCGGCTCCATTGATGCCATCCAGGCTGTCATCAACATCGCCAAGGCCAACCCTCACTTCCCTGTTATCCTTCAGTGGACCGGTGGTCGTGGTGGTGGTCACCACTCCTTCGAGGATTTCCACCAGCCCATCCTCCAGATGTACGGCCGTATTCGACGACAGGAGAACCTCATCCTCGTTGCCGGTAGTGGTTTCGGTGGTGCCGATGACACTTACCCCTACCTTACTGGTCAGTGGGCTAAGAAGTACGGCTACCCTCCCATGCCTTTCGACGGTTGCTTGTTCGGTAGCCGCATGATGGTTGCCAAGGAGGCCCACACCAGCAAGGCTGCCAAGGAGGCCATTGTCGCTGCTCCTGGTCTTGAGGACGGTGAGTGGGAGCAGACCTACAAGGGACCTGCCGGTGGTGTCATCACCGTTCGCTCTGAGATGGGCGAGCCCATCCACAAGCTTGCTACTCGTGGTGTTCGCTTCTGGGCCGAGATGGACCAGAAGATCTTCAGCCTTCCCAAGGAGAAGCGTGTTCCCGAGCTCAAGAAGAACAAGGACTACATCATCAAGAAGCTCAACGATGACTGCCAGAAGGTCTGGTTCGGCCGCAACAAGGAGGGCAAGGCCGTTGATCTTGATGACATGACCTATGCCGAGGTTCTGCGACGTCTCATCGAGCTCCTCTACGTCAAGCACCAGTCTCGCTGGATTGACCGCTCCTACACCGTTCTTACTGGTGACTTCATTCACCGTCTGGAGGAGCGTTTCACCACGTCTCCTGGACAGGCTTCTCTTCTCCAGAGCTACTCTGAGCTCAGCGACCCCTTCGCTGTGATTGATCGTGTCATCGCTGCCTACCCCGAGGCCGAGACCCAGATCATCAACGCTCAGGATGTCCAGCACTTCCTCATTATGTGCATGCGCCCCACCCAGAAGCCTGTCACCTTCATCCCTACTTTTGATGACAACTTCGAGTTCTACTTCAAGAAGGACTCCCTGTGGCAGTCTGAGGATCTGGATGCGGTTGTTGACCAGGACGTTGGCCGAACCTGCATTCTTCAGGGTCCCACTGCTGCCAAGTTCTCAACTGTCATTGACCAGCCTATCAAGGAGATTCTTGACAACATCCACGAGTCTCACATCGAGTTCTTGACTAGGGACCAGTACAGCAACAACAAGGCCTCCATCCCTTACACCGAGTACTTCGGTGGTAAGCTGGTTGACCCTGAGATCCCTCTGGACGTTGAGGGCTTGACTGTCAGCTACGACACCTACAAGAACACCTACCGCTTGTCGTCGTCTGCTGCTGCTACTCTGCCTGAGCTCGACTCCTGGCTGTCTCTCCTGGCTGGTGCTAACCGCAACTGGCGCCACGCCCTGCTCATGTCGGACGTCGTCGCCCAGGGCCAGAAGTTCCAGACCAACCCCATCCGACGCATCTTTGCTCCCTCCCGTGGCCTGTTTGTGGAGATCTCCTACCCCAATGATCCTGCCAAGACTACTATCGTGGTTCGCGAGCAGCCTCGCCACAACCAGTATGTTGATGTGATCGAGGTCAAGCTGGTCGGTGAGAACAAGATCCAGGTCAACATGATCAAGGAGACCACCGCTCTTGGCAAGCCTGCTGCCCTCCCTCTCCTTTTCACCTACCACCCTGAGGCTGGTTACTCGCCCATCCGTGAGGTTATGGAGGGCCGCAACGACCGCATCAAGGAGTTTTACTGGAAGGCGTGGTTCGGAGAGGAGCCTCTTGACCTTGACGCTGATGTTACTGCCAAGTTTGATGGTGGCAAGACTACCATCACCGGTGAGGCCATCAACGACTTTGTCCATGCCGTTGGCAACACCGGCGAGGCCTTCGTTGACCGACCCGGCAAGATTGTCAACGCTCCTATGGACTTTGCCATTGTCATTGGCTGGAAGGCCATCACCAAGCCCATCTTCCCTCGCACCATTGATGGCGATCTCCTGAAGCTTGTCCACCTTTCCAACCAGTTCCGCATGATCCCCGGTGCGGAGCCTCTGAAGAAGGGCGATGAGGTCACCACCACTGCCCAGATCAACGCCGTCATCAACCAGGATGCTGGTAAGATGGTTGAGGTTTGTGGCACTCTCGTCCGAGACGGCGAGCCTGTTATGGAGGTTACCTCTCAGTTCCTGTACCGCGGTACTTACACCGACTACGAGAACACCTTCCAGCGCAAGGTTGAGACTCCTATCCAGGTGCACCTTGCTACCACCAAGGATGTTGCTGTCCTCCGCTCTAAGCAGTGGTTCTCCGTCGATGAGCTCCCTCGCGACATTGAGCTCCTCGGCCAGACCCTGACCTTCCGACTCCAGAGCCTGGTTCGCTTCAAGAACAAGAACGTGTTCAGCAGCATCGAGACTCGCGGCCAAGTCCTGCTTGAGCTTCCCACCAAGGAGGTGATCCAGGTTGCCAGCGTTGACTACGAGACCGGCGAGTCCCACGGCAACCCCGTCATTGACTACCTTGAGCGAAATGGTAAGACCATTGACCAACCCATCAACTTTGAGAACCCCATCCCTCTCAGCGGCAGGACTCCTCTGGCTCTCCGAGCTCCCGCTTCCAACGAGAACTACGCTCGTGTCTCTGGCGACTACAACCCCATCCACGTCTCTCGTGTCTTCTCCAGCTACGCCAGCCTGCCCGGTACCATTACCCACGGCATGTACTCTAGCGCTGCCGTGCGAAGTCTCGTCGAGACCTGGGCCGCTGAGAACAACGTTGGCCGCGTTCGCAGCTTCCACGCCTCCCTGGTTGGCATGGTCCTGCCCAACGACGATCTTGAGGTCAAGCTCCAGCACATCGGCATGGTTTCTGGTCGCAAGATCATCAAGGTTGAGGTCCGCAACAAGGAGACCGAGGACAAGGTTCTCGAGGGTGAGGCCGAGGTTGAGCAGCCCGTCACTGCCTATGTCTTTACTGGACAGGGCTCTCAGGAGCAGGGTATGGGTATGGAGCTGTACGCCAGCAGCCCCGTTGCCAAGGAGGTCTGGGACCGCGCCGACAAGTACCTCCTGGACAACTATGGTGAGTTGAATACCCATTTGCGTATTGTAAAACGCATATACTGACTTGATCGCTAGGTTTCTCTATCACCAACATTGTGAAGAACAACCCCAAGGAGCTTACCATCCACTTCGGTGGTCCCCGTGGTAAGGCTATCCGCCAGAACTACATTGCCATGACCTTCGAGACTGTGGCTGCGGACGGTAGCATCAAGTCGGAAAAGATCTTCAAGGACATTGACGAGACCACCACTTCGTACACCTACCGCTCTCCTACTGGTCTGCTCTCTGCCACTCAGTTCACGCAGCCCGCCCTTACCCTGATGGAGAAGGCCAGCTTCGAGGACATGAAGTCCAAGGGCCTGGTTCCCAACAACAGCACTTTTGCTGGTCACTCGCTCGGTGAATACTCGGCCCTTGCTGCCCTGGCCGAGGTTATGCCTATTGAGAGTCTGGTGTCGGTTGTGTTCTACCGTGGTCTCACCATGCAGGTGGCCGTGGAGCGTGACGCTGCCGGACGGTCCAACTACTCGATGTGCGCCGTTAACCCCAGCCGCATCAGCAAGACATTCAACGAGGCTGCTCTGCAGTTTGTGGTGGACAACATTGCTGAGGAGACTGGCTGGCTCCTGGAGATTGTCAACTACAACATTGCCAACATGCAGTACGTGTGCGCCGGTGACCTGCGGGCTCTTGACACGCTTGCCGGCGTAACCAACTTCCTCAAGGTGCAGAAGATCGACATTGAGGAGATGAAGAACAACATTGAGGAGGCCAAGGGTCACCTCCGCGAGATCATTCGCGGTTCTGCTGAGAAGACTCTGGCCAAGCCTCGTCCCCTGGAGCTTGAGCGTGGATTCGCCACGATCCCTCTCCGAGGTATCGACGTGCCTTTCCACTCGACTTTCCTCCGATCTGGCGTCAAGCCTTTCCGATCCTTCCTGCTCAAGAAGATCAACAAGACATCGATTGATCCCTCCAAGCTGGTCGGAAAGTACATTCCCAACGTGACGGCCAAGCCGTTTGCGCTGACCAAGGAGTACTTTGAGGATGTGTACAAGCTGACCAACTCTCCCAAGATTGGTGCTGTCCTGGCCAACTGGGACAAGTACACTCAGGATGAGGCGGCCACCAACGGTGTTGAGGGTAGCGACAGCAGCTCAGGCGGTGACTACGAGGGCCCCGGCGCTGCTGCTTAGATGGATGGATGGATGAATAGAGGATAGACGACTGAAGAAGAGTCACGAATGATTATGAAGAAGGTTTTACAGGTTCCTGATGGATAGGACCGATTTACTATTACACGAAGGAACTATATCACGATGTATCGTATTACTTAGAGAGGCGTTTGCTTTTACTGCGCAGTTAGACTCTATTATGTTGAATGTTGTGTAATTTCTCACCAACGGGAGTGGCATTGCAGCGTGACCAAGTGACGGCAGTAAAGGCGTTTGCTTGAGATGAGGCATCGATTGGTGGCAGGCCCGTGGGTCGGCTGCCGGCGACGGCCGGTGAACGGGGAGATAGCAAACAAGGTGGAGGTGGCCTATCAGAGGAGGAGTTAGGCCTACTCCGAGCTCCGAGGTACACGAGTTGACATGGTTGGCCGCTAACTCGTTTACATGTAGGCGTTTCGTTTGGTAGACAGAGGCCAGATAGGGGGATGAGTTTGTCTATAATAACTAGAAAAGACTCAAGACAAGCTGGAATTTTTGCTCTCTCCTCTCTTCTTTGCAATTGATAAAATCCGGTCTCGGCATTACATCATCATCACCCTCAGTCTCGCTCTTGGCACGTGAATCAATCAGGCAAAGCGTCACAACTTGAACCGAGGAAGCACATACAACCAACTCAACCAGCAGCAACAGCAGCAGCCCCGAGATGACGGGCCTGAGGAAGCAGGTCTTTGCCGGCACCTTCATCTCCAGCAAGAGCCCGCAGGAGCTCAACTATCTGCACAATGCCGTCATCTGCGTCGACGGGGAGGGCAGAATCGCCAGGGTCGATAAGGAGCCTGGCAGTGTGAGCAAGCTGGAGAATACGCTCAAGACGCTTGGATGGTCTGCGAGTGAGGTGGACATTCATGTGGCACAACCGGGACAGTTCTTTTTCCCCGGCTTCATCGGTGAGTTTGGATAATGGACTGTGGGAATGCGGTCGCTAACGATACTCTAGACTCTCACGTTCATGCGCCTCAGTATCCCAACGTGGGCATCTTTGGAAAGACGACGCTCATGGAGTGGCTTGAAAAGTACACTTTTCCCATGGAATCGAGCCTCAAGGATCTGGACAAGGCACGCAGGGTGTATACCGCATGCGTGAGACGGACGTTGTCTCATGGAACAACGACATCGGCCTACTATGCGACCATCGATGTGGCCGCCACGAACCTCCTTGCCGATATCTGTCTCGATATTGGACAGCGTGCCCTTGTAGGGCGTGTCTGTATGGACAATCCGACCACTTGTCCTTCTTACTACCGCGATGAGACAGCTCAAGAGTCATTGGAGAGGACGCGGGAGACGATCCAGCATGTCCGAGACATTGACCCAGATTTCAAGCTCATCTGCCCCATCCTTACACCCCGCTTTGCGCCCTCGTGTTCTAGCGAGGCCATGAGGGGTTTGGCGGATATTCAGAGGCAGATGGACCTACCGGTGCAAACACATATATCAGAGAACGAAGGAGAGATTGCGCTGGTAGCTCAGCAGTTTCCTGAGTCTGGCTCTTATGCAGAGGTTTACGACAATCATGGCCTTTTGACGCGGAGAACGATCTTGGCGCATGCGGTGCATCTGAGCGAGGGGGAGGCTGCACTCGTGGCCAAGCGGGGGAGCAAAGTGTCTCACTGCCCATGCAGCAACAGCTCCCTCACGAGCGGAGCAGCGAAGGTGCGGTGGATGTGGGATCGGGGCATCACGGTCGGTCTCGGCACCGACATGAGCGGAGGTTACAGCCCCTCGGTACTCGAAGCGGCACGGCAAGCGGCTTTAGTAAGCCGTCACGTAGCCATGGGCGTCACGGACGGAGCGGAGCGGGAACGGAGCAAGCTGACGGCGGAGGAGGTGCTGTACCTGGGGACGCGGGGCGGCGCCGAGGTTGTGGGCCTAGAGGACCGCGTCGGCGGGTTCGAAGAAGGCATGGAGTGGGACGCACAGCTAATCGGCCTGGGACAAGTGGACGAGGATGGCATGGGAGGAGACAGCAACGTCGACGTGTTTGGGTGGGAGACGTGGGAGGAGAGGATGGCCAAGTGGCTGTTTAACGGAGATGATCGGAATGTGAAGAAGGTGTGGGTGAGGGGGAGACTTGTTCATGAGCGGTGAACTACCTCCTCCTCCTCCTCTAGCCAAGAAACAAGAGGCTATCTCGGCATATCTGCCAAGAAGGGTGGCCTCAAGAATGGGCGGCCTCCAGCTGATAGAGAGTAAAAAGGTCGTATCTGCCCGTGGCTTAAGCCTTACAAATGTCCACAGCGTTTCACATAATCTCGCATTCCAAGAGAGGTTTTTCGTTTTGTAGAGGGTGCGCCACAGACAGAAGAAAGAAAAACGACTTTAACCCCTGCATAGGATGGTCTGCCGTGGGATGTTTCAACCCAACGGGGGGGGGAGGAGATCATCTCATGCAAGACCAAGATTAAGACCCGGCTGAACAATATTGCCGTCTGACTGGTGCTGCAGCCGCCGCCAAGGGCTGTTGGCCATCATTAAGCACAAATGTAAAGACTTTGGCAGTGGCTTAGATACAAGTCTAATATCAAGCTTGCAAGCTTGGAGCTCCAAGCTAAATAAACCACAAGACACATTTCTGCCAGCAGACAAGGCAGATTTTCTCAACAGTCTTCATCTTTCAGCTGAATGCGTCTACTAGGCGATAAACTGAATAGACTGGGGACTCATGATGGCTCAAGAACCTTGGCATGGCTTTCAAGACTCCAATGAAAGCCCCTGTCAAGTGCGCGGATCCCTGCAACACACGGCAGTCTTTGCCCTTCAGCCCTGCGCTGCTTGGCGCCAGTGCCTGCAACGGTCCTTGGGCGTCTATTGCTGCTTCGTCAGTGGGAGCATAAGAAGAGGGGGAGTCCCCCTCTCGGTAGATACAGTGGCACATTAAGAACATCATCTTTGTCTCTTCCCAAGTAAATCACTAACCAATACTTCGCCATGTCGGGCACTACTACCTCTACTCATGGCCTCACGGTCACTGGCGTCCCCAAGATGCCCTTCTGGCTCACCATCCTCCGCATCGTGGCCCTCGTCCTGTCTCTCGGCGTCCTCATCGCAGCCGCCTACCATCTCTCCCTCCTCGGTGGTTGGAGCCAGTACTACGTCGGTTCCAACCCAGCCGGTTTCCTCATCTTTGACGCAAGTCACACACATATCCCTACACTAATATATACTCGACTAACATTCTTAATAGGCCATCTTCACATTTCTCATCCTCGGAGGCATGTTGGCTGCAGAATTCTTTGCGCCTCACATGTACCTCCGCCTCCTCTTTGTCGGCGCCCTCATTCTTGACGCCATCTTTTGGCTATCTGCCTGGGCCTGGGCCGCTTCTTGGACTTCGAACTACTACTCCATCTACAACGCTGCTGGCTTTGGTCTGTATACTGAGCTGTCTGCCTGGGGCGCTTCTATGCTTGCCGGTTCTGTTCTTGGCGCTATCACTTGGTGAGTCTCTTTGTTGCCCCTTCTCGTGGAATGAAACTAATTGTTAAAAGGGTTGTTATCATCGTCATTACCGTCTTCTTCGTCAAGGCTTGCATGGACTCTCCCCAAGATTCTTCCTTCTCTCCCAGAGCCCCAACCGACCCCGAGATGGGCCCTCCCAAGCAAGAGGGCGTTTCCCAGCCGCAGTATGCTTAGTTGAATAGGCCAAGCTGCAGAAAGATCAGTTGACCACACAAAGGAAGGCGAAAGGAATACTATGATACCCTGGGTCTATGACCCCTGTGATGGCTTTGGCAGGGCTTGGTTGATGATGGAGTGTAATGATGAAGAATGGTTATGCTTTTCAATGTGCTTAATTTACCTGCGGAGGGTTTGGTTCTATATCATACATGACTCTATACAATTGTGATTCTCCAGACGCCTGCGCGCTGTCTGTCCTGATGTAACCGAAAGAAAAAAAAAGAACCTGAGATGGGAAAATGACCAGAAAACAAAAGAAAGAAAAAAAAAAAAAACAAGCCCAGAAGCAAAGACATTGATCGTGATCGTATCACTTCTAGTGAAAAAAAGAGCCAGTGACCAAGATCCCACCCATTTTATAACCCTTCGGCCTGACGGTGTGTATGCTCCTGTTGTCTTCACCCATGGTTGTCTATTATAGGTGCTGAAACTGCGCCGCGATGCAAATTGTCCGGATATGAGTTGAATTCGAAAAGACGAGGCCAAGAGCCTAGCAAACAAGGAAACTCTCCATTCTTTGTGAACCAGAAAAAGACGGCGTAACTTTTTCGTCTCCATAGCCAAAAGGATCATGCTCAAATGGTGTTGTCGTTAAAAGCGTTGCTCCAGTTACCAGTCATAGAGGACATTTCCTCCGCAGGCGCATCCTAAGCGGCTGCAGCGACTTGTCCAGGCTGATGGTTGTATTGCTGTTGGTAGGGTTCCATCACGGCCTGCTGAGCCATGGAGTTCTGAGCAGCCCGAAGAGCCGCGGCATCGTTCGCTTCAAGCTCGGCCCTGAGCCGCTCGACTTCCTTGGCCTTGGCCTCCTTGTCCTTCTGGACGTGTTTCTGTGATTTATCATTAGCATGAGATACTCAAAAATGGGACGTGTTCAACTTACATTGCTTTTGGCAGTACGGGTAGACTGTCTCTGCGACTTGTTCTTCGCAGTATCCTCAGATCTCTTCGCGTCACCTTCGCTAACTCGCTGCTCAACAACGGAAAGGATGGCATTCTTCAACTCCTCAGACAGATTCTTGAACTCATTGGGTTCAGCTCCAAGAGTAATAGCTCGGAGCCTCCACCAATTCAGCTCCGCTTCGCGGTCATTCAACAGAACTCGGCTTTGGAGGATAATCTCGTTACGACGATCACGTGTCGCCTTTGCAGCGAGGTTGTTGCGCTCCTTGTCAAGCATTTTGCCCTTCTCCAGGATCTGCTTGTTCTTGGCTCGAAGAATCTCGGCCAGACGAGGGTTATCCTCGGGAATTTCGTAGGGAGCTTCGGGGAGAGGCTTGGCCGCCATTTCCTTGAGCTCAGATGGAGGGAGAACGGGAGGGTTTGCCGCCTGATGAGCAAGTTCGAAGTCGATAGAACTCATGATCTTTTCATAGTCTGCGGCGGAGCCAACGTCTGGGATGGTCAAACCGGCCTTCTCGAAGGAGTAGCCAGCGATCTTTCGACCAGACCGATCAGGCTGACGCTTCGTGGGACGGGTATCAGGAGTCATGTTGCCACCGGCAGCCTGAACAGAGAGCATGTGTTCGAAATGGGGGAATTGGGGTTCAACGGCCATGTTGTCGCTGGTGTGAACTGGCTGACATTGCGTGAGGCGGGGGTTCAGAGTGAGCGTATCACTCATCTGTTGACCCGAAGGACCAACCTCGCATTGTGTGAGGCGAGGGTCAATGGTAGAATTGTCGCTCATCATGGGGATACCAGAGTTGACATGACTCTGAGCATTGAAATCGAAACTGTCGGGGATAGCAGTGTTGAACTGTGCAGTCGTAGTGGACTTAGGGACATGACGCTTCTTGTTGGGAGGCGCCGGAACGCTTTCATCAACATCGGGCGCTATTCCGTAGCTCACAAAATCGAACGTCTTTTGCTGCTGGGCGGCATTGCTCTGGTCGTAAGACCGCTTGCCCTTGGGCAGCGAGTTCATGATGAAGGTGCAGAGACGCGAGAGGAATGACAGGAAGAGATGACCAGGATAGCGAGAAGAAGGCAATAGACGATGGGCAGATTGTAGAAGTGTGTGGAGGGTAATAGAAAGGAAATGAAGTTTAGAATCAGGATGGTAAACGCCGAGTCGCTGTGGTGACGAAGGCCGCAGCGACCGCAAAGGAAGAGAAGTAAATACGCGCGTGTGTGATCGATAGATTCACCAACGCCGAGGAATCAAAATACCTTTTGGGATAAAACCAATAACTTCCCAAGATGAAGGTTGTAAAGTGCGTAAGTAGTGGTGATGTTTGGTGGAGGAGAGAAAGTGGAGGGTGGAGGATGATGCAGAGGAGAAGAAGAAGAGAGGCAAAGCTCGTGCAGTGCAAGCTCAAGAAATAACAATACCTAAACAGAATGGTGCAGCGCATCCCCACCCGCCAAGTGAATGCTCAAAAATACTCAACGACAATAGCGAGCCTCGTCCAGTAAACAAACCCCTGGACTGGCAGCCGGTCTACACTGCCAAGGGGAGCCTCCCCCTATCTGCGCTGCAAGTGAATCACTAAATGCTCTGACCAGGTCTCTCGCACATGACCTCAAACTGCATCTCCTCCCTGCTGCAGTTCATGGACATTTGCGTCTATACTTGCTCGTCCTTGACTCCCAACTATCAAGGTATGCTCCCCGAGTTGAATGACCAATAGGCTGTCAAGCGGAGGAGGTCGTTAGGGGTGCACAAGGGTATGACTCTCTGATACTCATGCGCAACCTGTTTCTGTCGAGGCTTGACTGATGCAGTAAGAGGATGCTGTCTTTTTCCCTTTTGCAAGTGACACGAGAAAATGATGCTGTGTATTTCCCCATAGCTGTCAGTCGTCACGCGGCCACTTGCGAAAAACATCACCGCCCACCCCAAGCTCGCCCGTCATAACCTCTCCACGCTCTTTCAACCGTGTTTCTCTTCGGGCATCCTTTGATAACTTCTAGACTTCGTCGTAATCGGGTCGGGTGTTCGATATCGTCGAGGTGGTCGCCTCCTTTGTTCGTCGCATCGCTATCGGTGATTCAAGCTGGCATTCTTCATCGGTTGACGCGAGCATCAACTCACAGACCAGCGCGAATGGAGTCCTGCACTGCACATCGCAGTCACTCTAGATAAGTGTGTCCTAGCCATCCACTCATCAAGCTACGGGGTCTCCCCGGGGTTGAGAGTGACTCGTGGGAGTAGGATTTATCCCTTGGTTTCGCCTGAGGGTGCGAGACGCCTTCATCTGGATGCCATTCGTGCGGCCCTGCTTTTGTTTCAAATGCTGCGAATCACACCCATCTCCTTCTTTGAGGGCAAAAATGCATCTTGACCGTGACTCCTTGACGCGAGTCTACAGCATCAAGGTAGACGTCGCCACCACTAAGAACGTGGCTCACATTCACTTACCCCCGACCGACTCTGAGAAGCATCAGCAGCAAAGACTTGGCCTAGAATCCTGGCACCACCAGCAATAAGAGTATTTCACCCTCGAACAAGAGTGCGAGAACATGTCGTCATCCTACCACTCACACAATGACCCCTTGTTCAGTCAACGTGGAACAAGACAACACAATACATTCAACTCTGCCTTTGTTTCAAGCAGTCCGCTAACCACCCTGAATTGTTTCCAGAAAATCAATACCTGCGACCGCTTCGCTGATTTGTCGACTCAAATAACCCTCCGACCAAAAGCAACGCCCAAGAATCCAATCCCATCAAGCCTCGCTCACCAAGACCGAGATCAAGACACCCCCAAGTAAATCCCATCGATAAACAACCAAGTTCCTGCGCCGGCCTCTTTGTTTTTTCACCACAAAGTTGCTCTTCGCTTTCCTGGTATCTTTTTCAAAAACAGTCATGCCGCCCACCGTTCCCACCCTTCACTATAACCATTAAGGCCGTCAACTCTTTTCCAATCCAAACATCCCGATACGCCAGGTACATTACTCGACCAGAGCCCTGCTCACAAGGCCAAGCCTGTCCCGTCCTTCGTCCACCGATATAATGCTAGAAGCTCCCTTCTTCGTTGTTGTTGCTCTCCCAGATCTTCAGGTACACGACCCCTGACCTGGGCGAGGGCACTGCGCATCACTTTGCTGAATTTTCGCTGTAGACTTGTTAGTTTCTCTTCCTGACACAGCCTTGTCCATATAACTCACCTGATACTCTGTGCTCAGGGTCACAACACATGCCTCGTGAGCCCGCACGATAGTCTCGCACGCCTTAGCAACGCTGGGTGATGCTTCCGACTGCAGCTTATCCGCAATGAGAAGCAACAAGAACGATCCCTGAAGGAGATAAATACCAAAGAAGAAGGGCATAAACTCCAGTCCAGGGTCGAACTCGAGGATTTGGTTGATGGCTTCAGCCGCTGCCACAGCATGGCTCGTTGCCGTGATGAACCCTTGCGACGAAATCCAGAGGTCATCGTCATCAAGCAAGTTGATCGGATCCCATTTCCCAGCCAAGAGAATGTGCAGCACATGCATGACATGTGTGCCGTATGCCATGACAATCCGGGTCTGAATGTTGCCCTCCGTGAGTCGACCTGATCCGCTGGAATGCACCGAGTGAACTGACGGCGTGGTGATTTCAGGAACTCCAGAGAGCTCGTTATTCTCGCCGTGCTGTCCATCAACCTTGTCGTCTCCTGAGCGTGGCAAATGCTTAAGCTCAAAGGCCTGCAAGCTTTGCTCATATATCTCCAAATGCCGAGTGATTTCTGCCGTTTGCGCATCCCATTCGTGCCCTGGACGGAAAGCCATGCCAAACCGCGGATGGTTCTTTGCGTGGTGCAGATCCACGACTTCGCCCAGAATTGTCATCAGGGGGAGAAAGTATCCAAAGATACTATGACCTCGACACTCATACTGGGGCCCGCATATTTGCGACGAATCCGAGACGTATCCTTCGGGTCCAGTGTTGAGTAGGCTGGGATCCGTGTTGGAGCTGCAAAGGCTGCTAAAATCCCCAGTCTGCCATGCCTTGTCATCCATGGGCTGCAGTAAACCCTGGCATTCGATATCCAGGAGAAACAAGGGGCGATTGTAGCATAGCGCCAGGTGCCTGTCGACGATATAGAGGAGCCACCATATCCGGCGCCGCTCCTCACGTTCCTCCTCTGACACGTATCCGCTACTGTTGCCATCCTGATCGTCCCCAGTCTCAGTGTCCATGGCACTGGTTTCTTGGTTTGTGGGTGATGGACCAACCGGCAACTCGCGTCCCAGCTTCAGCTCTCGCGCGAGGCCCCAAGCAGCAGTCCACCATCTCATACTAGCGCCCTTGTACTCACTCGCCGAGACAACGACTGCCAGATGAATGTAGGTGATCACATCGTCCAGGCTTCCCGCTGCACCGAATGGCCCTGACTCGCCTGACAGAGCATCCAGGCTGATGGACCCAGGCATGGCCACACCCAATCCACCAAGCGCAACTCCGTCAGCCACTGGGCTTGGAGCATCTCCTGAAGCTGTATGAATAAGTGGCCGAAGAAGATAAACTGTTAGCTCGAGGAGCTTCTGGCACGTTTTAGCACGAGCTGAAGGTGTGCTGGCCAGGAAAGGGGCATCACTCGTTTGCGCTGCAACCCACAACATGCTCGCTAGAAGGGCCGGTTGGCAATGTCTCGGTTTCGTGGGATGAAGGAAATATTTCTTTCGAAGAACAAATCCTAACACATAGGGTGACATCGGATGCATCTGAGCTGATGACGAAGACGCGAAATAAAGGTCCATGAGATCGCAGGCAAGAGAGATTGGCAGAATATTGTTGAGGTGAGGGATCAAAGGTTCGAGGACAGGATATCGTAGTTTCGAGTTGCCAAAGCTCGCTTGGGGGACCTGAGACTGGTATTGGCCTGGTGGTGAAGCCATCGAGATTCCCCAGCCAGGGGATGCTCCTTTACCCATCGAGTAACCGAGCGGGCTATTTCCCATTCGAAAGGTCGTGTTGTTGCCAAAGTTCGGTGGGCTCTGGGCTTGCATCGAATATGGAAACTCAGAATAGCCCGACATGCTATTTCGACCCCCAGGACCATATGGTTGGCCATTGAGCTCCAGGCCTTGGGTGTCGTAGTTGTGCGTCATGTTACCAAATCCATTCAGATCTAGGCCTCCGTGATTCTCCATTTGCTCGCCGTCCAGGGCCGGAGGGCGTCCAAGCTGAGGTTGTTCATTCATGCCGCCGAGGTTCTCAAGACCTTCCAGACCCTGGGTGTGTCGCATAACATCGTCGCTTTGGTCTTTGCTCGATTTACTGCTCGTGCTCGGTTGTCGTTCGCCAGAGTGGGGGATGGTAGTCTCGAGTCCTTTGCTGGAGGATTGGCTGCTCTCGCCCACAATTTCTTCTGGATTTTGGCCTTTTCCGGCCGCCGCCGCCGCAGCAGCTTGTTGGGCCAATTCTTTTCGAGAGGCCTTTCCTCTCTTCTTCCTCTCGCGGATGTATTCGCACCCCAGGCCGAACTCTACTGAAGTCAGAAACTCTTCCCAACATTCGACTTCAGGACCTACCAATGCAGTGTGCGCAGGGGTGCTGGCCATCGCATTTTGTCCGAAGCTGGTTGCATTGATCACAAGCTCGGCTAATCCTCCTACGAATGCCTGACGCCCCAGATCCACGAGCAGTAGTTCCGTAAGGGTGTTGTCGATTCTTGGTCTGGGGGCCTGCTCTTGCCAGATGAGGGTTCTGGATTGATACTGACTGTGAAAGTGGTTGAATTGGATACTGATGGTTCTGCCCAAGTGTCTCTAATCCATTGCCTTGGATCTGAGTCTGTTGAACATTGCCATCTGGTGAGATGTTTGAAGAGGCAATGTTCTGGTAGGGAGAAAAGCGTTGAAGAGGGTTGGACAACATCTTGCCACGCGCGTTATCACGTCTTCTGCAAGATTGTGATGGAGCTTTCGTTGCGGTTGGACCAAGGCTTGGTGGCTTGGATCAAGGGTGGAATGAATTATCCCCCTCCCCTACCGATGGCAGGAGCAGATTCTTTGATAAACATGGTCAGTTTGCCTCTGTAAGCAGATCCCAAAGCTCTGCGGGGAAGTGATGAAGTAGACAGGGGCTTGAGTCTGATGACGGTTGCATGGGAAGAGTCGAGGTATCAGAATAGTACAAGATCAACCATGTTGATGGCCGGGGTAGACCTCGGCAAGCGGGGACCATAGAGTGATTGACAAGACATCTGACAGTTCCTTGGAATAAAGACGGCGGCAGTGTCGTTGTACGAGGAGGCGATCATAGTCTCCTTGAAAGAGGCGAGTTGATGAGGGTACGCGGGGTGGAGGAACGACTGATACGCGACGCGACTAAGAGAAATAGATAGACTTACCCTGACCGGCAAAAGGGTTCCAGCTGCCCTAGAAGGCACTGGAGAAGCTGACCGTAACCAGATAGTTTGGGCTTTCGCGTAACTCGCTGAGTGCGCTTTCAATTCCAACCTGCGGTGCACCCAAGAGCGTTTCAGGCAATGATGATCCTCGTCGTTTGCTGTAGCTCAAGTGGCGAACCTAGGTTATGGCTGGGAGTCGTGGGGAGGTTCCTGTAACTGAGTTGTCCAGTTTGATACTTGTTGATAGAATGTCAGGCCAGGCCAGGTCGGATCAGAAGACTGTGGTGGTGGATCTCCGAGGGGCTCCTCAGTGCCGAGTCTCTCAAGGTCGATATGGCGATTTCGATGGAACCAGCTGGATAGAGAGGCAAGAAGACAGTCTGGATGACTCTGTCTCAACTGTCAATGTCAATGGTTCCTTGGAATTAGTCGGTGGCAGGAGGAGGGAGGAGAGATGGGCGTCTTTTTTTCTGGAGAAACCCCAACGGCGGCTCGTGACCGAAATGTCGGGCGTGGCCAGGACTAGGCCTGTAGGGGACGGGGAGGAGTGCATTTGCTAACCCAGAGCGACCAGGCAGCTGCCGAATGCCAAATGGGTCGCTTATTACTCCGTACGGAGTAGTGAGGACTAGGCTCGCAAGCCTGGGAGCGAGGTCCCGCCGAGGGTGGGTTGATGGGCAGATGTGGAGTATGGTCAGAGGTGGAGGATTTTGGGCATGGGTACCACTCACACCTCGAGGGCGTTGTCGGTTCTTGTTCCGAAGAGAATGACACTTGGACTGGGATCTCGTTCGAGGAATCTTCTCCTTTATGCGGGCCAAGGCGAACTGCGGAAGTCAGGAGTTGGGTTGTCAGACGAATTGAAGCTGGAGAAGCCGTGATGATAGCCGTCGAGAGGACCATGTGGTGGCATCCATCTCAGGGATCTCTTCGTCTAGAACCATTCAACGACTAGACGGGGTGGGGACACGAGAGTTGGTTTCCACAACCTCATGGCGTCAGTGCTGTATTCCACGCTTGTGTCTGTTCTTCAGCAGTCAAGATTGTCTAGTCGACTCGCACGAACGAACCAAAGCGTTCCTCTCAGGGTCAGGGTCTCTTGACTTGGTGGCGTCTAGCGCGTCGCCGCGCCGACCTGACGTTCGGCTCCATCTTAACCGAGCCCCGACGCTGGAACCAATTTCCAGCTTGTTCGTTCGCACCCAAAAGGAGCGAAAGCTTAAACGGCTGAGCGGGGAGGATCTGACATTGATTTCTCACTGGGTTTCATCGCATCGCATCGCCTGCCTGACAAGGCCCGATAGAAGAACCAAGGATCGCCGCCGCTCTGGTTCCATTGCAGACCCGTTTCGACTCTGGGCGTGGCAGAGCAGAGTGTCTGCGGAGCATCCATCTCCATATCCGCGCGAGTGATGGATGCATGGGTAAGAAGAGGGTGTGGGAGGCCCTAAGATTGTCCGTCGCTATCCATCCCCGGATTTTCACAATGGGGGATCTTCCGTAGTCAATTTAGTTTCCATCGAGGCTGAGAAAAGAAAAGATTCATCGAGGGGAAGCCGGTAAGTGTGTGTGTCCAAGCTTCAAGTGAGACGCGACGGAAAAAACCCCAGACTTGGTACAGTACACGCCTTCCTTGACGGGACGGGATGTCAATTGGGGGCTCCTTCCCCCAAAGTCTTAGATCCAATCCAACCCCATCCCCTCAATCCCACTGTTGGAAGGCGCTTCCAAGCAGGTCGCTCAGATCATCACTTCCTTCTTCATTCATCTCCCTTACCCGACACCAACGCAAACTCTTCCTCTTTTCCATCTCGACCTCCTCTCACTAATGACTTTTCCGAACAATACACCGAAAGAAGCTCGCCCCTTGTGTAACCTGCTGTTGTTGGCATGGTCGACGCCGCACTCGCGCGCCAATAGCATTGCGCATATGGCCCTGTATGGTCTGGCCTGGCCTGGACATGGACATGCAATTCCCCCCGCACCCGCAACTCGACCTGCGGAATTGACGGATACTGGCGGATGGATGCCGGCGCGGCACACAGGGTAGGGACATGACACCCTCTGCAGAGGCTTCTGGGAAGGGATGGGATGGCCAGAGTCTGTCTAGTCTGTCTACTGGGATGCGAGCTCCAGCGCCTCGGACTGTCCAGTCATCCATCACAAAACCCCCAAAGCGCATGTTCTGACGGATGACGCGCCCACCGCCGGAATGTCCTGCTTGTGGCGCCGACACCATCAGTCAATCCACGGACGGCGGCCCGATTTCCCCACACTCCTCTTAATGCCCCTCGTGCATCCTTGTAACCTCTCCAACCAAATCCCGCCAACCCTAGTTCAACGGCGCGACTGTCGCGAAGCCCATGTCTTTCCTCATGGCAATCGTTCAACCTCCTGGCCGTGACCTTTGTAGTGTGTGTGTGCCGCACTGCCCCTGCCACTGTCCAAATTTCGAGTTCTGATGCTTTCTCAGCCAACTGTCATGATGTGGTTGCTCGTGCCCTGTTCCCAGTTACCACGTGCTTGTTTCTTAAGGGCAACCTCCACCATTCTGACAAAGTTGCGTGTAGCTAGTTACAGATGCTTCGTGTCCGATTACGAGCCTACTTGTGTGGTGCGTATTATGCCCAATGGAGAGCCACCTGCATGGTCGGTCCGGCAGCTTTAAAGTGCCACGACACGCTCGCGTTGAGTCCCCAAGATTGCAGGTGTTTTGCAGGAGAGACTATTACCTTTCAGTAATACCATACAGACATCATATCCGAGAAAGAGAGCTAGTAACATAGCGCTCTACATCAGACAACATGATGTGAGTGGTGACCTCCAAATGCCTCGGTTATACTACTTTTCAGGGGCCAACCACACGACACCGTGATACTCATCCAAGAAAGCCATTATTGATTGTCTAATATACATGAACTCTATCGATCCGACTAGCATGGGTATTCCAACTCGAATATTCCAATTTGAAGTTGATGCCTTTGATGGCAGAGTCCAGCCTTCTAACCCCCAAGAGATTTCTGTATTAAATTGAAGCGGCTGATTCATTCGTCATTACTCGAAACAAAAAAGAAAGTGTCATCCGTTAGTCCAGGCCAGGTAGCCACCCGCCTCCTGACAATGTTGCCCCTAACCCATCGAATACTGCCATCTGGTCGTTAACCTCGTTCTGCATGCTAGAGTTGCTCTCTGGGTTGCTGGCAGGTGTATCTTGGTTGGTAGAATCGCCAAACAAAAACACCGAGTTGTCCTGCCCGCTGTTGGCCATCTGCCAGGCCTCAAAGCTTTGGTGCCATCTCGCACTATCATTCAAGAACCATTCCTGGCCGTCCATCCTCATTGGTCGATTTGAAGTTGGCTGGTTGCCAGAAGACATACCCGGGCTGCTGGTCGGTATGCCGTTGCGGTTGACAGACCCAAATGTTGGTTGGTAAGATGGCATCGACGTCGATACAGGGACAGGTCCCCATCCACCCATCGAATCGGCACAGAAAGCCAGGTTGGATCCGTTTGCCGACATGCCTTGTTGCTGAGCCAGGTTAACATTCGAGAGCGAGGCACTCGTTGTCATGGGATCCGTTACAGATCGTTGTGGTTGCTGTTGCTGGATTTGTTGCATAGGTCGGGCGAGTTGTGTTCGAGAGTACTGAGTCAAGGGGCTATAGTCGCCTCCTGTCTTGAGGCCCAAGCCACCATCCGAAAGCGGCGAAGCAGCCATGTTAGATTGAGGTGAAGGAACATCAGATGTACTGTAAGTTCCGTACTTCTCATCTGCTCGTTGAAGCACGAATGCAGCGTCCTCAGGAAGTTCGCAGTTCCACTTTCTAGCGAGAACGCTCAGGATGGTAAGAGTTCGTCTTGCACAAAGCCAATCTTCGGCAATTTCTTCAAGGTGCTTCACTCCATGCGTGATATCTCTTCTGGCGGTTTTCTCGGGGAGATTTAGCAAGTGTATTGTGCACGCGCTATGCACCATGTACACGGCGATGTTGCAGATCTGGCGCAGATTCCAGAGTTTCTTATATAACCGGAGAAGCTTTGAGATGGCGCCCGCATTTGCTGTGCATATGCGCCGAGGTGAAACGTGCGGCGGGAGGGGAGAAGCCGCCGGTGAGTATTTCAAAAATGGTCGAAAAAGGTGGATGTATTGAAGATGGAAGAACATGCTGTATATGGTCAGTTGTGTCGCTAAGTCATGGACGCTCTACTCACTGCATAAGGAGCACATTTGGTAATTGGCCATCTTTGGGCTCAAACTCCTTTGGAAGTTCCTTTCTCCATTCTTCCAAGCGGCGATGCAACTCGCTCAGCTTCTTGAGCTCCACGGCTTTGCCACTGGACTTGCCAATCGTGCTTGGATGATAGAAGAATGCGAGCAGATCGCTGCTAATCTCGGAAAGTTTCGACATCTGGAGGGCGATGGCTCGGGTTCTTGACGGTTGCTTGGATGACTGATCAAACCCGTTGTCGGTGTAAGGTGACCACGACTCAGCATCCTCGTCAGGAAAGACATCAAACTTGGAGA